AGAAGAGGATGTGGAACAAGGGATATCATTGCTGATGTCAGATGGATCTTGGCTGAAAGCAAAGAATACCAGAAAGATGCTTACTTGTGTTTTATTGACTATGCAAAACATTTGATTGTGTTGATCATAGCAAATTGTGGATAACATTAAGAAGAATGGGAATTCCAGAAGGCTTAATTGTACTCATGAGGAACCTGTACATAGACTAAGAGGCTGTTGTTCAAACAGAACAAGGGGATGCTTCATGGTTTAAAATCAAGAAGGGAGTGTGTCAGGGTTATATCCTTTCATCATATTTATTCAATCTGTATGCTCAGCAAATAATCCAAGAAGCTGGACTGTATGAAGAAGAACATGGCATCAAGATTGGAGGAAGAATCATAAACAACCTGCATTACACTGATGACACAACTTTGCTTGCTGAAAGTGAGGATGACTTGAAGCACTTGCTGATGAAGATTGAAGAATATAGTCTGCAGTATGGATTACATCTGAATATAAAGAAAACAAAAATCCTCACAATTGGACCTATAAGCACCATCACAATAAATGGAAAAAAGATTGAAGTTGTCAAATACCTCACATTGCTTGGTTCTACAACTGACATCAATGGAAGCACCAGTCAGGACTTCAGACGACGTATAGAACTGGGCAAGTCAGCTGCAAAGGACTTCTTTCAAGTGCTGAGGAGCAGAGATGTCTCCTTGAGGACTAAGGTGTGCCTGACACAAGCCATGATATTTTCAATCACCTCATATGCATGTAAGAGCTGGGCAATGAATAAGGAAGACTGAAGAATTGATGCTTTTGAGTTGTGGTGCTGGTGAAGAATGCTGAAAGTACCGTGGAATGCTAAAAGAACTAACAGATCTGTCCTGGAGGAAGTGCAGCTGGAATGCTCCTTGGAAGTGAGAATGGTCAGACTTTGTGTCACCTACTTTGGTCATGTTGTCAGAAGGGACCATTTGCTGGAGAAGGATATCATGCTTGGTAAGGTGGAGGGTCAATGAAAGAGGTGAAAGCCCTCAACAAGATGGATTGACACAGTGGCTGCTGTGATGGGCTCAAGTATAGCAGGGATTGCAGAGCTGGTGTGAGACTGGGCAGTGTTTCATTCTGCTGTGCACAGGGTCACTATGAGTTGGAGATGACTTGACAGCACCTAACAACAACAATTCTTCATAGTATCCTGATATTATCCTTTTTAGTTCAGTTGGTTCTGTTGTGATGTCACCCAATTTGTTTCTTATTTGCGTTATTTGTATTCTCTTCCTCTTTTCTTTAAATTTGCCAGTGCTTTGTTAATTTTATTAATCTTTTCAAAAAACCAACTTCTAGTCTGATTTTTTCTATTATCTTTCTATTTTCTGTTTCATTTATTTCTGCTTGAATATTTATTCTTTCTTTCTTTCTTTCTTTTTTGGTGACTAGGCTTTTTTTGCTGCTCTTTTTCTAACTCTTGGAGATGTTGGGTTAAGGTGTTGATTTTGGCTCTTTTTCTTTTTTGATGTGTACATTTATTGCTATAAATTGGCCTCTGATTACTGCTTTTGCTGTGTCCCAAAGATTTTGGTATGTTGTGTTTTCATTCTTGTTTGAGTCAAGAAATTTTTAATCTCATTTTTCATTTCTTCTATTACCCAGTTGTTTTTAAGGAGGATGTTACTCAGTTTCCATGTGTTTGCTCTTTTTCTACTGATATTCTAATTGTTGATTTCTAAATTTATAGCATTGTGATCTGAGAGATATTTTTGCTGTATTTCAATGTTTTTAAATTTATTAACACTTGCTTTGTGGCCTAACATATGGACTATCTTGGAGAATGATCCATGTGTACTGGAAAAGAATGTATACTGTGCTGTTGTTGGGTGAAGTGCTCTGCAGATGTCTATAAGGTCAAGTTGGTGGCCTGTATTGTTTAGTTCTTCTGTGTCTTTGTTGAGTTTCTTTCCAGTTGTTCTATCTTTGAAAGTGGTGTATTAAAGTCTCCTACTATGACTGTGGAGTCATCTATTTGTCTTTTCAATTCTGTTAAGGTCTGATTTATGTATTTTGGGGCTGCTTCATTGGGTGCATAGATATTTATTATTGTTATATCCTCTCATTCAATTGATCCTTTAAACATTATATAATGTTCTCTCTTGGCTCTTAGGTGGTTTTCATATTAAAGTCAATTTTATCAGAGATTAATATTGCTCCTCCTGCTCTTTTTTGATTGCCATTTGCTTTATATATCTTTTTCCAACCTTTGATCTTTAGTCTATTTTTGTCTTTCACTCTAAGGTTTGTCTCTTAGAGACAGCATATTGATGGGTTGTTTTCTTGTCCAGTCTGCAACTCTCCATCTCTTGAGTGGCATGTTTAATCCATTCACATTCAGTGTAATTATATGAATTTGTTGCTGTCATTTTGTTATGTTTTTTCATGGTGTTACTGATAATATTATTCCAATAATAAAATAGCAGTAAGAGATTTTTAAATGGTTTATCCTCAATAGTTAGTATTCTACTGGGTTCTTTAAAAAAAAATAAAGAAAAATGTATATATTTGAACCAATCTAAAGTTTGCTTCAGTAAATGAGAATGAACCTATGTTCCTCCATAGTAATTTGAGATTTTTTCCAAGAATATTTATTAATCAATCAATAAGTAAAAATTATCCTAGAAAAGTTTGTATTCATTTCTATAATTTGTTCTATCACATTGCTTTTTTATATTTTTGTGTTACTTTTTAACTTACAATCTTGTTTTCACAATTGTTGAATTATAATACATTTAAAATCAGCTAAGGTCAATGTCCAAAATGGGACAAATGAGGAAATCTGAATATAGACTATGGACTAGTATTGTACTAATGTGAAACTTACTGATTTTGATAATTGTTCTGGAATTATATAAGATAATTCTTCTTAGGAAATATACTCTGAAATATGTAGAGGGCAAGGGGGTGATGTCTCCAACTTACTTTCAGAAGTTCAGAAAAAAATTATATGTATATGTGTGGTGTGTATATATATATATAGATAGATAGAGAGAGAGAGAGAGGGAGAGAGAAAGAAAAGAGCAAGCAAGGGAGAGAAAGAGAGCAAGGAAATGCACACACACAATCAAGTGGTGCAAACTACAACCAATTAGTAAATCTAGATGAAGGGTATATGTGAATCCCTTGCTTGCAACTTTTTTGTAAAAATCATAAAAAATTTGTAAAAATAATACACACATACACACACACACACACACACACATATCCTAGACTTTTACTGTACCCATGTCCCCACTTACCCCTTTAGATATTCCAATGTTAAAGAAAATTCAAATATGTGATGAATTAATTGCTGCCCTAAGATTTCTTGTGACCCTCATCATGAAGTTTTTAAGAATATTTTGATGAAATCTCATTGAAAAAATTTCTCTCAGTGGTTTAGATGACTGCATCTTCCTATGATGTGATGATTAATGAAAAGCCTAGTTGAAACAGGAGAGTGTGGTTGTCTAGCGGAGGCTTTTATTACCCTGAATGAGCTAGTTAGGGTGTGAATTCATTATCCAGATGCATTACCATTCCTTAGCCCCTTTACCAAAACTGGATTCATGTGCAAATTTGTTGCTAAACACTAAGGGCAAATTTATCCTTTGCTTCTCACTTTGCAGAACTTGGTTTTTCCCACTTACCATACCCTCATCAGGGTCATAGAGCCTCTGTATCAGCTGGACCATGGTGCTTTTCCCACAGCCACTGCTTCCAACCAGGGCCACCGTCTGCCCACTCTGAACCTTCAGGTTGAAGCCCTTCAAGATCTTTGAAGGAAAAGAGAGAAAAAGGAACACACTTCACAACCAAACCCTAAAATGAAGTGATTTCATTCAATTTCAAATTTGAAAAAGTATCAAATAAAGGATTATAACACCAAAAGGGAAAAGGCATGTAAACATCAAAATAATATAGACAATTCTGATTTAAGATTAAACGAGTTAGGGATTCCATTAAATGTTACTTACGGTACCTTGATATTTGCTCGAGATGGGTAAGAAAAATGAACATCACTGAACTCCAAATTCACTTTGTCGCTGTCTGGTTTGTGTCCTCTCTCTGAAAAACTGTCAATTTTAGGATTCTAAATAAAACAAAATTCAATGACTATTCCATCATAGGACTAACAAATTTTTAAGGAATATGATTCAGCAGATCCCCAAAATTAGACCTGGAATGGCACAATCTCCCTCACATAGCACAGAACTCAAGGTGAGGACTGTATATGTGTGTGTGTGTTTTGTTTAAGAAAATATTCCTTGTTAGAAAACAAGCCTTTCCTGCAAAGTTCATAAGGGATATTGTCTTAGTTATCTAGTACAGCTATAACAGAGATATTACCACAAGTTTGTTGTTGTTGTTATGTGCCATCAAGTCGGACCTGACTTGGGTTTCTGAGGCAGTATCACTACAGAAGTACATTGCCCAACCTTCCTTCCGAGGAGTGGCTGGTGGGTTTGAACCACCAGCCTCTGGTTAGCAGTCAAGTGCCTTAGGCACTATGCTTCCAGAGCTCCTTCTCATAGTTTAGGAGGCTAGAAGTCCAAATTCAGAGTGCTGGCTCTAGGACAAGGCTTTCTCTGTCAGCTCTGGAAGAAGGTCCTTGTCTGCTTTCAACAGCTATTGGCCTGGAATGCCTTGGAGATCTCCATGTGTCTTGACATCAATCTTCCCCTGGGTCTAGGAGGTTCTCATCTCAGCACAAGGACTCTGGGGCCAAAGGACACACTACACTCCTGGCTCTTCTTTCTTGGTGGTAGTAAGATCTCTCGATTTCTGCTCCCTTTTTAAATCTCTTTCATAGCCAGAGACTGACTCAAGATACAACCTAATCCTGTAGACTGTATCCTATCTCATTAACATAACTGCCTCTAATCTTGTCTCATTAATGTCACAGAGGTTAGGATTTACAACATATGGGATAATTACATCAGACCACAAAACAGAAGATAATTATGCAATACTGAGAATCATGGCCTAGCCAAGTTGACACATATTTTGGGAGAACACAATTCAATCCATAACATTCTACCCTTTGGCCCCCCAAAAGTCATGTTGCTGCCACATGTAAAAATACTTTCACCCTATTATATCATCTCAAAAGTCTTAAACTCCAAGTTGAAATTCCATACCAGGGCAATATTCCTCCTCCTTTGTGAACCTGTAAAATCTAGAACACAGTTATTTGCTTCTAAAGTACAATGGTAGAACAGGCACAGGTAGATATTTCCATTATAAATGGGATAATCTGGAGAGAAATAAGGAATAACAGCCACCAAGTAAGTCCAAAACCAAGCAGAACAATTTACATGAGCTTTCAAAGCTTGAAGATAATCCTATCTCTCTGAGACCATTTAAGCAATGGCCCTGCCCTCCAGACTCTGAGTGTTGGTTATGCTCTCTGGATTCTGGCTGGAGGCCCCTCAACTTGGGTAGACCCATTCTCCTAGTCAAACTGGGTGACAATCTTACCCCCTTGGCCCTGGCAGTCCTCATTATTCTGCCCCTTGGGCATGACAGCCTTGCCCCCTCAGCTTTGGGCAGCAGATCTGGTCCCATCCCCCTGGCACTTCTGAATAGCAGACCCACTGTTCTGGTTACCTAGTGCCACTCTAACAGAAATATACCACAAATGGGATGACCTTAACTAACAGGAGTTTATTCTCTTACAGTTTGGAGGCTTTAAGTCCAAGTTCAAAGTGCCAGGCTTTAGGGGCTAAGGGAAAGCCCCTCGAGCTTGGGCTTCAGCTCTGCCTCTTGCTCCTGGCTCACTGAAGCTAGAACCATCTCTTCATTCAGGCAGCTACTGTCTGCTGAGGCTAACAAGCCCAAGGTCGACAAATAAAATGGCATCATCCCAATGTCACCAAACCACAAGGCAGGCCATTAACTCAAGTCTGTTTTAAGTCCCAAGGTCAGCAGAGCATGGCAGGCTGCTGAACAACAACACAGCTACATGCAGGGTCCAAGCATACCATAAGCTAGAGACCATTCCCAAAGCTGCTTCTTATATACAAGAAGCAGACCACATACCCAAAGCAGCTACTCAGCTGCTTATGGTAGATCCCACCATGGAGTTGATTGTCAGTTTCATCATGGGGAATAACTACCACCAGCTGCCCTGCCACTCCACCAGGCCTACCCAAGTTGACACAAAAACTTAACCACCACACCCACATTCTGGAAATGAGTTGGTTAAGATCTGACTCTCTGAAACCAAAGAGTCTGTGACCCTACTCTTTGATATCCAGTAGGCTGTGGCCCTACCCTTTGAGACTAAGGCAGCTCTGCTTCCTTTGCTCCTTGTCTGTTCAGCTTCTGCTTCCTGGTTTGTTGGCCTCTTGGCCCCTTGACCCTTCAGAGTCTTGGGCTGGCCTGGCCTCTGCCCTGCTTGGGTAAGTATTAGAAAGCTCTTTAGCATCACCAATAAGTTGCTGGAAGCACCCCACTCCACCAGCAAGCCTCAGTGCAAAGGTGTTCAGCTCTCTTGTTCCATGAGTTGGCAAGCCTAGCTCAGTCAGCAAGTAACCAGAGGCACCCCATTGTGCTAGGAAGCCTCCTGCCTGAGTGCACACAGCTCTCTGATTCCATGGATTGGCTCCCAGGCTGTCTCACACAGGTCTCCTGGTTCTGCTGCTGCCATTTCTCTACCACTGCTTCTCACCATATGCATCATCTCTGGTGTTACAGCTCTCCTTTCTTCTGAGCCCTTATCAGAGTTGCCTCTGATGTCCAAAATTCCACCAAAAGTCTCTTCAAGGAAATCTAGGATTTTATTGTTAGACATCTTAAAACTCTCCCACAAAACAACAAAGATATCATCTTGCCCTGGTAATAACACCAATAATCAAAAGTAGAAAACAAATACTGGTGAGAATGTTGGGAGATTGTAACTCTCATATGCTGTTGGTGGTATTGTGAAACAGCACAACCACCGTGGAAAACAATATGGGGCTCCTTCAAAAGTTATAGATAGAGATATTGTGTGATCTAGCAATCCCATTACTAGTTATATATCTTAAAAAAATAAGAACTATGACATGAATAGATATATGCACATCTATGTTCATCACAGCACTAGTCACAAAAACAAACAGATGGAAACAACCTAAGTGCCCATCAATGGATGAATGGATAAACAAACTGGTATATGCACACAATGGAATACTATGCAATATTTAAAATAACAACGAACTTGTGAAAGATCTCCCAACATGGATGAACCTGAAAGACATTAAGCAAGTGAAATAAGTCAATCACAAAAGGACAAATATTGTATGAAATCACTATTATAAAAAGTCAAGAAAAGGTTTACACACAGATAGAAACATTCCTTGATGGTTACTAGGGATGGGAAGGGGACCAAGGGAAAATCACTAACTGGATAGCTGACATGTGTTAACTTGGGTGAAGGGAAAGGCAATGCACAATAAGGGGTAGTCAGCACAACATGATCAAGGCAAGGGAAGACTCTGGGAAGTTCTCAAGAGTAAAAGGCAACAATGGGAATACTATTACATACACTAACCTGCAATAACAGTAATGTTGTTGTTGTTGTTGTTGTTGTTATGTGCCGTCGAGTCAAACCTGACTCATAGCGACCCCTCCTTGGGTTTCCGAGGCAGTATCACTACGGAAGTAGGATTGCCCAACCTTCCTTCTGAGGAGTGGCTGGTGGGTTTGAACCGCCAGCCGTCTGGTTAGCAGGCAAGTGCCTTAGCCACTATGCTACCAGAGCTCCCCAATAACAGTAATAACAAACAAAAATTTATGTAGATAAATAAGGGTAGATAAGTAAGCTTAACAGGTGTGGGATGGCATTTGGGAGTACACTCACAAACATATATAGGTTTGGCAGAGGATAGTTCTACATACATATTTGTATGTGCTATAAATATATCTAGGTATACAGTACAGCATAAACCAACAAAACAAAACCCATTGCCATCGAGTATATTCCAACTCATAGCAAACCTATAGGACAGAGTAGAACTGCCCCATGGGGTTTCCAAAGCTGTAAATCTTTATGGAACCAGACTGTTCCATCTTTCTCCCACACAGTGGCTGGTGGGTTTGAACCACCAACCTTTTGGTTAACAGCTGAATGCTTTGATCACTATGCCACCAGAGCTCCATATAGTAGCATGGACAGGGGACAAAGTTATAAAAACTTCTTAGCCATAACAAAATACCTTGAGGGACTGTCACTGGGCTTGAGAATGTAGGACCATACTCTCAGGGGATATCTAGGTCAGCTGGAATAACATAGTTCATAAAGACAATGTTTTATAACCTACTTTGGGTATTAGCAACTAGGGTCTTAAAAGCTTATGAGCAGCCATCTAACAATTCTTATTCTCTTCCTGTTCAGAGCAAAAAAGACAAGGAAACAATTAGTCCAAAAGACTAATGAATCCCACAAACTATAGCCTCTACTACCCCTAATACCAGAAGAACTAGATGGTTCCTGGCTACCACTACTGATTATTCTAAAAGGGATCACAACAGAAGGTCCTGAACAGAGTAGGAGAGAAATGTAGAACAATTTTTTTTTTTTTTAAAGACCAGACTTATTGGTCTGACTGAGATAGGTGGAACCCCCAAGTCTATGGCCCTTAGAAATGCTTCCAACTCCTGAGACCATTTTTTCAGCTAAAAAATAGGCCTATAAAGTGAACAATAATACTTGTGAGGAATGTACTCATTAGAACAAGCAATAATCTTTTAAGACCAAAAGGGCAACATTTGTCCTCCCTAAAGGTTCAGAAGGCAGAAAGGGACAGGATAGATGGGCGAATGGAAATAAGAAACCCAGAGAGGAAGCAGGAAGAGTCCTGGTACATTGAAATATAAATCACAGGGTAACCTCAAAGAAAAATGATAAACCTTCACATCAAAATAAAAAGGAGCGCCACACAAATATTTAGCAAATACTAAAATAACAGCAATTAAGGAAGTGATTACACAATTCATAAACAAAACAAGCTCAGCACAGAAAACTATATGGAACAAAGAAATCAACACCACGAAAAAGACATAACAAAATAACAGCAACAAATTCATACTTGTCGATAATTACATATCTGGCAAGGGACTTATCTCTAAGATTTATAGAAAACTCCAACACCTCAACAGCAAAAGGATTAACAATCTGATTGAGAAATGGGCAGAAGACATGAACAGACACTTCACCAAGGATGATACTCAGGTGGCCAGCAAATACATGAAGGATGCTCACGATCATTGGCCATCAGAAAGAAGCAAATCAAAACAATGAGATACCATCTCACCCCAGCACTGATGGCAAGGCTAACGAGACAGAAAATAACAAATGCTGTTGGGGATGTGCTGGGACTCTCATACACTGCTGGTGGGACTGTGAAGTGATACAATTACTGTGGAAAGCAGTATGGTGATTCCTTAGAAAGCTGGAATTGGAGATACCACTAGACCCAGAAATCCCATTACTTATATATCCCAGAGAGGTGAGAGCCAGGACAGGAACAGATATATGCACACCCATGTTCACTGCAGCACTATTTACAATAGCAAAAAGATGGAAACAAACTACATGCCCATCAATGGAAGAGTGGATGACCAAACTATGGTACATGCACACAATGGAATTTTATGCAGCACTAAAGAACAATATAGAGTCTACAAAACACTGAATAACCTGGATGAACTTGGAGGGCAATATACTGAGTGAAATAAGTCAATCACAGAAGGACAAATATAGTATTAGTTCATTGTTGTGGAGGGTCAAGGAAAGGTTTATATATGGAAGGAAACTTTCTTTATTGGTTGCTAGGGGTGGAAGGGAGGGGAGAGAACACTGCAAAAAAAATGCATTGGCCCATGTTACTTTAGTTTTATGTATTTCACTGTACATAAATTATATGTCAATAAAATGCATTAAAAAAAGAATACTGGTACATTGAGGGAATTGCAACTAATGTCACGAAACAAAATGTATATAAATTGTTGAATGTAAAATTAATTTGCTCTGTAAACTTCTCACTCAAACCACAATAAAATTTAAAAAAACAAAAAACTTCTCTCGTCTCTACCCATTACCCAATTCCCAAACTGCTTCCACATTTTAGGTATCTGTTAGAATAGCACCCCACTCCTGGTACTAAGGGGAGCTCTGGTAGCATAGTGCCTAAGGCACTTGACTGCCAACCAGAAGGCTGGCGGTTCAAACCCACCAACCACTCCTCGGAAGGAAGGTTGGGCAATCCTACTTCCGTAGTGATACTGCCTCGGAAACCCAAGGAGGAGTCGCTATGAGTCAGGGCCAACTCGACGGCAAATAACAACAACAACAACAACCTGGTACTAAATTCTGTCTTAGTTATCTTGCACTGCTGTAATAGAAATACCACAAGTGGATGGCTTTAACAAATAGAAATTTATTCTCTCACAAATTAGGAGACTAGAATTTCTGTCTGAATTCAGGTGACATAGTGACATAGAGCTGGCTCTAGGGAAAGGCTTTTTCTCTCTGTCAGCTCTGGAGGGAGGTTCTTGTCTCTTTGAACTTCCACTCCTGGCCAGTCTTCATGTGGCTTGGCATCTCTCTTCCCTCATCTTTAGGAGGTTCTCAGCACAGAGACCATGGTCCTAAGGTCATGCTCTGCTCCTGGTTCTTCTTTTTTGGTGGTAGTCAAGTCCCTCCTTCTCTGCCGCTTCTCTCTCCTTTTCTCTCTTGTAAAATAAAAGTTGATGCAGGCCATACCCCACAGAAATTCCTCTTACATGGGATCAGGGCTTGACTCGAGTGAGGGTGTTGCATCTCATCTTAATCCCCTTACAAGTGACTGGCTGATCACATCACATCACATCATGAGGGATTATCACATCATTACATAAATGCCAAATTACATCATTGTTGTTGTATTTGCCATCGAGTCGGCCCCGACTCCTAGCGACCCCTCCTTGGGTTTCCAAGGCAGTTATCACTACGGAAGTAGGATTGCCCAACCTTCCTTCAGAGGAGTGGCTAGTGGGTTTGAACCACCAGCCTCCTGGTTAGCAGTCAAGTGCCTTAGGCACTATGCTACCAGAGCTCCTAATTACATCATTAGTAACTTATTTTTAGGGGCCCAATTCAATCCATGACAAGGCATTTTGTTTCACCCACTGCTAATGAGGTCATTTCTTTAATTTCACATTATTAAATTTCACATGATATACAATCTAAAGCCAGATTTAATTATCCAACCATCGAAGACTTTTGGCATTAAAATAATAAGTGACTTACATTATCAATAACATCAAAGATCACATATGCTGCTCCTCTAGCATTGGCAAAAGCATCAATACATGGGGCAGCCTGGCCAACACTAAATGCTCCAATTAGGATTGAAAAAAACACCTGAGAAGAACATGAGGACAAACCACCAGTTACATTCTGCCATACATTATTATGTGTATATACAAAAAATTATCTGGAGGATATACAAAATTATCATTAGGTATTATGGATTATTAGATTATATGTAATCCTATTTTAAAAATTTCCGTATTCTAATCCTTTATATACTCACTCAGTGCCATCGAGTCAGATCCAACTCACAGCGACCCCTACTTGGGTTTCCGAGGCAATATCACTATGGAAGTAGATTGCCCAACCTTCCTTCTGAGGAGTGGCTGCTGGGTTTGAACTGCCAGCCTTCTGGTTAGCAGTCAAGTGCGTTAGGCACTATGCCACCAGAGCTCCCATCCTTTATATAATGAGTATATATTTATTATCAGAAAATGAAGCTATCTTCATTTTGAAGAAGAAAACTAATATCGAGCATCCAAAATAACCTCTCATCTTGTATTTCAGATAGCTAATGTTTTATATATGAATTTGAAATTCATACACACAATGACCTATCTAAAATAATAATGTTTACTTTTTTATATAATGAAACTCAACAGAAGAATGAGGGTGACTCTAACTCATATTTATTCTTCATCAATTCATTTCATTTTCATTTCCTTTTATATATATGTTTCTCAATTGGTCTAATCATGTTGTTTTCTTTTCCCCACTCATAATTGTACCTTATATATTCTAGATGGCCAACTCTGCCCACAAGATGGAGAAACAGTCACCAAAATGCAAAAGCCTAAAAGCATAGCTCATCCTTTGCAAAATAGAGATATGAAAGAAAAGAAAGGTAGATGAAGAAAAACATTTTCAGGGTCTTCATAAATATTAAGAAAATACTTACTGTCATTGCATTTCCAATAGTATATTCTCTTGATATAACTAGAGTGGACCCATACCAGAAGGCCAGTGCATATGATGCATATATTAACAGGAAAGCAATGCCCATTGAAATGTTTGCTGAAATAGCTTTTTTAATTCCAATCTTTTTGGCATTTTCTAAATGTTTCTGATACCTACCAGAAAACAAAGGCAGAAATATTATAATACAGATGATAATCCAAAATCTGAGCAATATTCACCTCCTGTATAATTGGAGGTTTAAGGAACAAAAACATCAACGTAATAAACTCCTGGTGAGACCCAGCCTCCTAGGAACTGAACCTATTCAAGATCAGCTAGGACTAGAACACATCTGAGCCTTCTGTTTACTGGCCTGGACCCACATCCATTAGTCCCTACCAGTGCAAGCAAGTTTCCTGTGGCAATTCCAGAACTTAATTCTCACCCCTGAAGAATGGAATAGCATTGCCTTCACCTTTATGGCCAGCATCACAAGGCAGGTTAAAGTGAAAGGTGAGAAGTCAAGCAAGGAGAAAAGTCAAGCCAACCAAGAATGGCATCAAAATGGAAATAATCTTTGGGACTCTTAAAACAGATTCGTAGCTCAATTTCTTTCCTCTAGGGGAAAATAAATAAATAAATAAGATCCTCCTTCTACTGCCCCTGTGGATGAAGGACAGAAATTTTACATGTTCTTGTATATAAACTTAGGTTTCTCTCTCTCTCTTTTTTTTCAATCAGGTTGACCTTCACCGGTCAAGCCAAAGTACAATGTTATAAAGTGGTCCCTGCTTATGAGATACAGGTTCTTACTTAATTTTTCAAGATTTTTGTTTTACAATCTGTAAAATGAAATTAATAATGCCTTAATGCCTACCTTGCAAAATAATCATGATATTGATATATAATTATAGAAAGTTGTCAGTACAGTGCTTGATACATGATTGGCAAAACCTAATAATTCTTATTCCTATTATTTTTATTGTGTTAGAATTTCATCTCTTCCTGAATTTTGCTCATTGTATTATCACATTTTTGAATAATAATTCAAATGTATTCTTGGCTTCTTGGATTTGATGTAAAGATACAAATGTCTAAAATGGCTTTGTTAAATAACAATAATTTTCACATCAAATTGAATCTACTCTTCCGTGCGAGACCCATGAGGGTATAATTTAATTCTGGCTTCCTGAAATTAAAAAAAATAAAAATCCAGTGAATATACAAGGAAACTTTTGAAAGAAAAACACCACACAATTTAGGGTGCTTCTAACAAAAAAAAAGCACTACTTTTTTTTTTTTATTTCAACCAAATGAAAAGTGAGAATGCATTAATTTTTTTTTAAAGTATGTTGCCACCAAAAAGTTTGTCTTTTTAAACACCTAAAGCACCCAACTCTTTAGAGAACTTTCGTCCTTGCAGGTGCTGCATCCATTCAGCAGAGCTGAGTCTCTGGGATCAAACCAGCATGCCATGTCTAGCACTATGATTACTCATGTGTGTCTGGGCCTCAAGGCGCTTGCAGGAAGATAGATTTGTATCTGCCCCAATGTGACACAAGGTTCCAGTGACAGTGGTGGACGTGCTGTAATTACCTTTGCTTAGGCGGCTCGCTTACCACGGCTAATGGAGCGGCACTGATTACACTGACATCCTGAGGTCCAACTGAGAGTTAATGTGGTCTGTGTGGACTATTGTGTACAGGAAGCAGCAGTGAGAGAGAAAAAAGGAAGAGGTTAAAAAACTATGAACATGTTGGTTATGAAGAGGTCTCAGGAATAGAAAAAAGAAAAATAGAAAATGAGAGGGAGGGGGTTTGGGAAGTTTTATTTATAATGCTGAAGAAGTTCCAGAGAAAATCTGTAATTTCAAATGGTTGTGGGAATCAGGAGTCTATAGAATTGCGAGAGCAAAACTTGACATGGAATCATACTTCCAGGCTATTAGGGTATGTTTTATTTATTTTATTTTATTTAAAGAAAGCTATTTGGGAACATTTAAAGAAAATGGAGTAGGCTTTAATGATGGAAATTTGTTCTGGCATTCAGGATTTTGTGTATAAAGTTTCTTTAGAGCAAGGGTCCTTGACCTGGGATCCATGATTAAGGGGTGAACTTGAATGAGAAAAAAACACATTCTTTCACTAATCTCTAACTAAAGTTTAGCATTTTCTTCAATTATCATTCACAACTACAAATGTAGTACTAGTAGTAACTATAGTTTTGTTACTGATAGAAATACCAGATATTTTAAAATATCATAATTGTTATAAATATCTTGAAATATCTTTTAGCCATGTCACTACTTTGAAATTACCACAATTATTAGACCAATGTTGTTGTTGTTGTTGTTATGTGCTGTCGAGTCAGACCAATAGTTAGATCTTACTATTTAATGTTAACAGAGGCACATATCCATTATAACACAATTTAAACAATAGTTTTATAACTGTACTTCAATATAATTGTGTTTTTAAATAATCTTACGTATTTCGTTTTACGCATTTAAAAAACATTTTTCTAAGAAGTGAATCCATAGGCTTCGTAAGACTGCCAAGGAGTCCATGGAACAATAAAAGTTAAGAATTCCTTCTTTAGAGCCTGACTTCAATTAAAATATAGCCATAAGTAAAGGGTTCTTATGTTTTGTGGGGTAGAAGTTAATACTAGAAAAGGGAAAGTAATAAACACATACCACAGAAGAAAGAACAACAAAATGTAAAAATGAGTCCTTTGAACTAGTAGACAAAGAACCTTCCTGACCTTTGCAGTTCTTTGTTCTGTCCTCCGAAAGCTATCACAGTCCTGATTGCCCCCAAAGCCTCTTCAGCCACAGCACCTGCTTTCGCATATGCAGCTAGTTCTTTGTCAGTAAAGGCTGAGAGTATCTGGACAGAAGAAAAATATTCATGACTTTTGCATGTAGAGAAAAGTCTGATTAACTATTTAACCTACTTTTTCTTCCTAAACCTTATTCTTTTCCAAATGTTGAAGTGAAGAAGGAAATGACACTCAGTGTACCAGGTCCAATGGCTACTTCTACCTCCTACTATACAGGTTGCTGTTGTTGTTGTTGTATATGCCATTGAGTCAGACCCAAGTCATAGTGACCCCTCCTTGGGTTTCTGAGGTGGTATCACTACAGAAGTAAATTGCCAACCTTCCTTGGTTAGCTCTGATCTATTCTGGTGATATGCTCCCCAAGAGTAGTCAGAAAAAGGAAATCCACACACAAATCTCCAAATTGCATTTTGAGAATAGTGTCCAGTTGCACATCTACTATTTTTTTTCTCTGCTGATTATAAAATAAAATCTTACTGCTTCAAAAGGATTCACTACCCTTTCTTTTACTATATAATGATTTTTAATTACTATGAACATAGTATTTTCAGATCTACTCATGGACACACTACTGAATAATGAGATAAAGATGTGTTGCACGCAGATGGTAAGGGAAGAACCTAAACAAAAGAGATACAAATATTTCACTTAGTAAATGATCAATCTCAGAATGAGCAAAAACTGCCAGTAAAATTTCTCAACTCTGCAACGTTGGCTGAAGTAGAGCAGGTTATGTGTACTTTACTGCAAGGCAAAACTGGCAGAGTGCCACCTGTCATAGGTAACAATTTAAAATCAATATAAAAAACACAAACTTTATTTAAAATTTTTAAATTGATTCCTGGAATAATTTAGACAAATGCTGTATTTAAAATTTTATTTCCTTAAATAAAGACATAACCACACATGCAATTTAAACTACTATGCCATAAAGTTTACTCAAAGAAATAACAGGAGCACAAAAAACCTATAATTGAGGTGAGAACTGTGACATTTCAAATCACATTCAAAATAAATTTCTTTATTAAGGCATTATATTAACAATGTGCTTTCTGATGTAGTTTCAACTGATACTCAGCACAGATTTACAAAAGTACAAGTACCAGAATCTTGCATATTAAACAAAACTCTGTAGTCATGAAAATGCCCATGCTAACACACAAGGGTTTCACATACCTTTCACATACCTAGGTTTCACATACCTTTGCCCAAACAGCTGTAGAAAGTCCCAGGATAGGGCTAATGGCCATTATCACAAGGGTGAGTTTCCATCCTCTGATGAATCCCACTATGAATCCTGCAAAAAACGTGGCTACTGCTTGAAAGAACATTCCAACTTTGTCACCAATTCCTTCACTGATTTTGGAGATGTCACTAAAAAAGATCACACCTAGGTGGTTACAGGTAGGAGGTGTTCAGTTAAAAAGGTGAATAGACATCTAACAAGCATATAGACAGGTAAAACTTGTTTGTACTTATGTAACCCTCTTTCAGAATCTAAGCTTCTTGAATAATATTACCTCACCTAAACACTGCACAAAGGAAGAAATTCAGGATTAATTCCTGCTTCTAAGAAGTTAATATCATTAAAATTAATATTACTGAAACAGTTAATCCTATTTAAAGAAACATTAACATTTTGAAGATCCAAGTCAATTTGTCTAAAGACAGCAATTAGGAAAGGTACTGCAACAATAATAGGGAAGGGCTTCTTGCTTCTACTCTTGCCTTTATTCTCCATACAATAGCCAGTGTGCGCCTTTGAAAATAGAAATTTGATCATATTTCTCCCTGGATTGGAAGCATCTAATGGCTGCTTATTTCACTTAGAGCTAAAGCCAAAGTCATTATCAAAGCCTGTTGTTATTAGGTGCTGTCAAGTCGGCTCTGACTTACAGCGACCCTGTGTACAACAGAATGAAACACTCCCTGGTCCTGCACCATGCTCAAAAGCATTGCTATGCTTGAGCCCATCATTGTAGCTACTATGTCAACCCATCTCGTTAAGGGTCTTCCCCTTTTTTGCTCACTCTTTACTGGTCTTCCCTGTAGGCATAGGGATATTATCTTATCACTGACAGCATTGTACTTCAGGGCAGATCTTGAAATATTCTTTTTGCTACTAAATGAGATGTCATTCCTTTTTAATTTGTCATTGCTGGCATAATAGACCATATGACTGTTTGATCCAAAATGGCCAATACCAGTCAATTTCAGCTCACTAATGCCTAGGATATCGATCGTTATGCATTTCATTTCATATCAAGGCCTAAAAGCCTTTCTTTTTTTTATCGTACTGCTTACTATGCCTTTGCACAGCTGATGCCCTGCCTGTAATATTTCATCCACAGATAGCTATTACCTCCCTCCTCCAAATTTTTATTCAATCGGCACCTTCACAATGACTCTCTCATTTAAATTTGCAACGCTTCTCCATTTCCTGGTCATTTCCAATACTTCTTGCCTATTCTACTTGCTTTAAAGCATTGGGCAGCTAACCACAAGGTTAGGGGTTCAAACCCACTAGCCACTCTGCAGGAGAAAGATGAGGCAGTCTGCTTCTGTAATGATTTACAGCCTTAGAAATCCTATGGGGCAGTTCTACTCTATCATAGGTTGCTATGAGTCAGAATTGATTTGATGGCAGTGGGTTTTAGGCTCTATTTGGTATTTGTCATTTAACTTATTTATTTATTCCATTTATTGTTTATCATCTATCTCCCCCTGCTGGAACGTAAGCACAAAAAGGTTGGAGATCTTTCTTTTGTTCCCTGACTTATCAGGAACATCTGGAACAGTGTTTGGCACAAAATAGGACCTCAAATATTTGCTGAATAAGCAAAGAGTCAACAGTTACTAAGACAAGTCTCTCTGTGAATACATTCAATCCTTTTTCATTCATTCAACTGTCTTTATTAAGTATCTAGCACATGTCAGGCCTTGGGGTAAACTCTGTGAGAGATGAAAAATACAATATATGAGCCCTGTCCTCAAATGAACCTACTATATAACTAGAGAGAAAAACAAAAGGATGCAGAAAATACATTATGGCATAGGCTGTAAATGTTTCTAGAAACGGTCAGCAGACAATCTATTCTCCATATACATAAAATGCTTAAACTATTTTTCTCTTGGAAAAAATCTTGACAAATTTTCACATAATTTTGTTGTTGTTAGGTGCCATAGAGTCAGCTCTGACTCATATCAACCCTACACCATCCTTACAATCCTTGCTATGCTTGAGCCCATCATTGCAGCCACTGTGACAACCAATCTTGTTAAGTGTCTTCTCCTACCCTCTTTTTTTTCACTTACCCTCTACTTTGCGTAGTGCCGAAGGCATTTGACTGCTAACCAGAGGGCTGGCAATTCAAACCCACCAGCCACTCCTCAAAAGGAAGGTTGGGCAATCTATTTCTGTAGTGATATTGCATCAGAAACCCAAGGAGGGGTCGCTATGAGTCGGGTCCAACTCGACAGCAAACAACAACTGCTTTACCAAGTATGATACCTTTCTCCAGGGACTGATCCCTTCTGATAACATGACCAAAGCAGGCGAGAGGAAGGCTGGCCATTCTCGCCTCTAAGCAGCATTCTGGCTTCACTTATTCCAGGACAGATTTGTCCGTTCTTCTGGCAGTCGATAGTACTTTCAGTATTCTTTCCCAACAACATAATTCAAAGGTATCAACTCTTCTTTGGTTTTCGTTACTCATTGTCCAGCTTTCACATGCATATAAGGCAACTGAAAATACCATGGCTTGGGTTAGGCGCACCTTAGTCTTCAAAGTCACATCTTTGCTTCTTAACACTTTAAAGAGGTCTCTTGCAGCAGAGTAGCCCAGTGTTATATGTCTAGGAGCTCTGGTGGCATAGTGCCTAAGGCATTTATTTGACTGCTAACTTCTCAGAAGGAAGGTGGGGTAATCTACTTCCATAGTGATACCACCTTGGACACCCAAGGAGGGATCGCTGTGAGTCGGATCCGACTCGACAGCAGTGAGTTTTTATATGATGTCTGATTACTTGACTGCTGCTTCTGTGGGTGTTGATTGTGAATCCAAGTAAAATGAAATCCCTGACATCTTCAATCTTTTATCCATTTATTGTGATGTAGCTTATTGGTCTAGTTGTAAGGATTTTTACTTGCTTTATGTCGAGGTGTAATCCATACTGAAGACTGTAGTCTTCACTCTTCATCAGTGTTTCAAGTCATCTTCACTTACAACAAGCAAGGGTGTGTCACCTGCATATTGCAGGTTGTTAATGAGTCTTCCTTCAATTCTGATGCTGCATTCTTCTTCGTATAGTCCAACTCCCAGATTATTTGCTCAGCATACAGACTGAATAAGTATGGTGAATAAGCCATGATGCACACCCTTTCTGATTTTAAACCATTCAGTATCCCTTTTTTCTGTCTGAATGACAACTCTTGGCCAATGTACAGGTTTCTTATAGCACAATTAAGTGTTCTGGAATTCCCAATCATAAGTTGTTATGATTCACACAGTCAAATGCCTTTGTGTGGTCAATAAAACAAAGGTAAACATCTTTCTGGTATTCTTTGCTTTTAGCCAAGATCCATCTGACATCAGCAATGATATCCCTTGTTCCTCTTCTGAACCCAGCTTGAATTTCTGGCAGTTCCCTGTCAATATACTGCTGCAACCATTTTTGGATTATTTTTTAGCAGGATTTTACTTGCATGGGATATTAATAATATTATTTGATAATTTCCATACTCTGTTGGATCATCTTTCTTGGGAATGGGTACAAATATCAATCTCTTCCAGTCAGTTGGCCAGGTAGCTGTCTTGGTATAAACAAGTAAGCACCTTCAGTGTTACATCCATTTGTTGAAACATCTCAATAGGTATTCTGTAAATTCCTGGAGCCCTGTTTTTCACCAATTCCTTCAGTGCAGCTTGGACTTCTTCCTTCAAGCCATTGGTTCTTATCATATGTTATCTCCTGAAATGGTTGAACATCAACCAATTCTTTTTGGTACAGTGACTCTGTGTATTCCTTCCATATTCTTTTAATGCTTCCTGCATTTTTCACTATTTTGCCCATAGAATCCTTCAATATTGCAGTCTAAGGATTGAATTTTTTCTTCAGTTTTTTCAGCTTGAAAAACACCGAGCATGTTCTTCCCCTTTGATTTTCCATCTCCAGGTCTTTGCACATTTCATTATAATACCTTACTTTGTCCTCTCAAGGTGCCCTTTGAAATGTTCTGTTCAATCTTTTATTTCATCATTTCTTCCCTTTGCTTTAGCTACTCTATGTCCATGAGCACATTTCAGAATCTCTTCACACATATATGTTGGTCTTTTCTTCCTTTCCTGTCTTTTTAGTGACCTTTTTTCTTTTTCTTCACATATGATGCCCTTGATGTCATCCACAACTCATCTGGTCTTCACTCACTGGTGTTCGCTGCATTAAATCAATTTTTCAGATAGTCTCTAATTCAAGTGGGATGTAATAAGGTCGTATTTTGGCTTTCATGGACTTGTTTTAATTTTCTTCAGCTTCAACTTGAACTTGCATATGAGCAATTGTTGTTCTGGCCCACAGTCAGCTCCTGGCCTTATTTTGACTTATGATACTGAGCTTTTCCATTTCCTCTTTCCACAGATGTAGTTAATTTGATTCCTGTGTATTCTATCTAATGAGTCCCATATGGATCGTCACAGTTTATGTTGTTTAGAAAGATATTTGCAATTAATAAGTCATTGGTCTTGTGTAATTCTATCATGTGATCTCTGGCATCATTTCTATCACCAAGGCCATATTTTACAACTACCAATACTTCTTCTTTGTTTCTAACTTTCACCTTCTAATCACCAGGAATGATCAATACATTGTGATTGTATGTTTGTTCAATTTCAAGCTGCAGAAGTTAAAAATCTTCAATTTCTTCATCTTTGGCTTTAGTGGCTGGTGAGTAAATTTGAATAATAGTGGTATTAACTGGTTTCCCTTGTAGGCCTATGGATGTCATTCTATCACTGATAGCATTGTACTTCAGGATAGATCTTGAAATGTTCTTTCTCACAATGAGTGCAACATCATTTCTCTTCAAATTGTCATTCCTATCATAGTTAATCATGTTATTGTCTGATTCAAGATGCTTAATACTAGTCCATTTCAGCTCATTAATGCCTAGGATATCAATCTTTATGAGTTCCATTTCATTTTTTGACAATTTCCAATTTTCCCAAATTCACACTTTATGCATTCTACATTCCAATTATTAATGAATGTTTACAGCTATTTCTTCCCATTTTGAGGCATTCCCCATCAGCAAATAAAGGTCCTGAAAGCTTTATTCCATCCATATCAGTAAGGTCTACTCTACTTTGAGGAAGCAGCTCTTCCCCAGTCATATTTTGAGTTCCTTCCAACCTGAGGGGCTCATCTTCTGGCAATATATCAGAAAATACTTCACAGATTTTCATCAAGTTTTCCAGGAATATATCAGACAGTGTTTCACTGCTATTCATAAAGTTTTCAGTGGTTAATTTTTTCAGAAGTGGATGGCGCCATCCTTTTTCCCAGTCTGTCTTAGACTGGAAGCTCTGCTGAAACCTGTCTAGCATGGGTAACCCTGCTGGTATTTGAAATACCAGTGGCATAGCTTTGAGCATCACAGCAACACAAAAGCCACCATAGTATGACAAACTGACAGATGAGCAGTCGTTCACATAATTAGTGATTCATTTATGAAACTATGACATTGGCAATACACTTACTCTGTTAGGCGTGTGTTAAGTTCTGTAGTGTCGTTGATATCAAACCAGCCTATTTCCTGTCGTAGAATAGCATGAAAAAATTTGTGCCTAATTTTCTTAATCTGTCGTCCAGCTGCTAAAGTCCAAAATGAAACTTGAATGTAGGCAGCAATAAGAACTCCAGCACCTAAACCTGAGTAATAATATGCATATCTGGAAAAAAACAAAATTAGAAAGACAATTTTAAATACTGTCCTTTACTCATCTCTTTCAGGAGAATGCTTACTAATGGAGAATTGATCAGTTTAGAAAAGACTATAGGGCATTATGTCAAATACACATTTTAAAAGTTTTTTCTTTTTTTTAAATTGTAAGAGAATAAGTTCCATGATACTCTCTATCTACTTGAATTAGTAGCCAAAGAAAACAGAAAATTTTTTATGGTTAACTACAGAAATGGCTGTCAATAATTCATTTTTAACTGATATTGGCAACTAGATACAATTTAAGTCTTATCATAATATGCTAGACTCGAACATCTTATTGAACTGATAAAGTTCACTATTCACATATTTCACATACAAGAGTAAATAGATCAAGTATCTGAAATGGTTCTTAAAGTAAATCTTTCTATATTGCTTACAGAAATCTCTTCCTATTTGGCAGAATTTGAAAAATATTTTTTAAAAGTTAATATGCTAAAATGTTATGAAATCAAAGCAGTTTGGGTTGAAGGCTTAACCAAATTAGTATTATATTGTTGTTGTTGTTGTTGTTAGGTGCTGTTGGTTCTGACTCATAGCGACCCTATGTACAAGAGATCAAAACACTGCCCCGTCCTACACCAGGCTCACAATCTTTGCTATACCTGAGCGCATTGTTGCAGCCACTGTGTCAATCCATCTCATTGAGGGCTTCCCCCCACCCCTTTTTTTTAAAAATTAAATAAAAATAAGCTTACTGCCATGGAGTCGGATCCGACTCATAACAACCCCTCCTTGGGTTTCCAAAGTGGTATCACTACAGAAGTAGATTGCCCAACCTTCCTTCTGAGGAGTGGCTGGTGGGTTTGAACCACCAGCTTTCTGGTTAGCAGTCAAATGCTTTTGGCACTATACCACCAGAGCTCCCAAATTAAATTAGTATCTTTAAAAATAATAAATGCAGTTTCAATACTTCAAATATATTTTACCTTATTTTACAAACTATTTTCAGATGAAGTCTTTCAGGTCTGCTTCAGTGTGGAGTTAGTACTATTTTAATCACCAACATTAATTGGTATACAAATATTATGCTACAGGCTTTTGAGATTTTTTTAAAGAAGTCTGAAGAAGAGGGGAGAAATGCCACAGATAATGCATTCCAATTTTTTCAACTGATCTATTGGATAGATTGATAAAATTGGAATATGGATGTAGATTAAAAGAAAAGTATTATACTAATATTAATTTTTTTAATGATGAAAACTGTACTGTGGTTACATAAGAAAATACCTTTATCCTTAGGAATGTAACTGAAGTATTTACCAGTAAAGGGCCATGATATATGCAACCTTCTTTCAAATGGCTCAGACAGTGGGGAAGAGAGGCCACAAATGATAGCATAATTGGAACAAAATGTTAATGACAGGTAAAGGGTATACAGATGTTCTTTCTACTATCCTTACAACTTTTCCATAAGTCTGAAATTATTTTCAAATAAAATATTTTAAAAACTATGCCATAAAGATACATATATTAACCAATTACCTAGTCATTTCTTCTTCCAGAATTCTGCCTGGATTTAACAGCGACAACGAGAAATTCACTAAATAAATACAAAATAAAACAAAAACAAATTTTAAAGGCTGAACAATTAATAGGCCTCACCAGCTCTTCAAAATCTGTTAATAATTTAAAGAAATGAAAGCTAGAAGATGCTGCAGTGAAGGTTCTCAAGAAAACCCACTCTTTTGTCTTCACACTCATTGATAGCCTGTCAGCTGCTGAAGGGCAAGGGACGGGGAGCATAGAACATACAGAAGGCAGGGGGAGAGAGAAATAGTCAAAACAGAAACATCGCTTCAAGTGGCATAGACAAGCTGTTTCCTAGCTACCCTGTATTCTTATATTTTAAAGAAATAGTAATTGGAAAGAAATATATTGCCTATTAATTTAAGCTACTTTTATTAAAATGTCACTGTGCATTTGCTGGTTTTCATGTCTATCTTTAATTATTATAAAATTATATATAACACAATATTTGCCAATCTAACATTTTTCAGGTATATAATTTTATAATATCAATTACATTAATCATGTGCAACCATCACCCATAATCATTGCCAAATTTCCTGCAACCATAAACAAACATTCACTGCTTTCTAAACAATGGGTTTTAATAATAGCTCACATTTATGGAGCATTTATTATATTCCAGGCACTGTTTTGAGCACTTTATATGTATTAAATCATTTAACTTTCACAACACTATGAGGTATGATTATTTTATAAATTTCCATTTTACAGAGGAGAGAACTGAGGCAGAGAAAGGTTAAAGTAATTTACCCAAAGTCATTCAGCCATCAAATAGCAGATTATTGCCAAGACAATCTGGCCTGTGATTCTACCTACTATACTATACTGACCAATTTACACAGTAATGATTCACTTTCAATTTTTAAAAGCACAAAATGAGAAAAATCAAAAGAAAACAGCAGGTATCTACCATATTCACAAAGTAATACAGTAAAACATACAGTATAGATATTTCTCATTTACCATGATCCTAGAAGAGAAATCTCTGTTCTTTTATCATGTATAAATAGTCCAGAGGTCATGTTTTCTAGGTGCTATAGGCTTTTCCAAAGGGGAATAAGGTTGAAATTTATTTAAAACTTAAACTACAGTCAGGATCAATTACTAGGCTTATTAGCCCTGATTTGACAGAAAATTTCCCTCAAGATTTTAACTTCTACTGATATTCAGTGTAAAGTGTTTCTGCTTATTAATTTAGCTCTTTATCAGCTACCAGATCCTTACAGAATTATTTTTTAATTTCATTCTTATCAGTTTAGTTCTGTGTTCTCATTTCCTACTCAAGTTCTTAAATATGGCACCTCTGATACATCAAATTACAACTGTGTTTGGAACTAGAGGCCCAAAAGCTGTCTTAAAGTGTTCTCACAGCTATTTTCTCTAATATTTATTGATCATTACCATATTCCAGAACTTTACATAAATCATCTCATTTAATTCAATCAGTAAGTGTACAATTACTTTTCAAAGAAGAACAATAAGGATTATAGAGGTTAAGTAACTTGCCCAGGGTCATGCAGGTACTGAATGAAGGATCTAAATAACAAGTGTATAAGGTAAGGATTAAATAGGGAAACATATTGCTAATTATCAATTTTGTGTCACAGAGTGAATCAGTGTCTGTCTTCCTTGATTCAGCTTAGGGCTTCTTTTATCATAGAAGACTATTCAACACAAAGCAAAGAGCTGGTGTTTTTCAGTCAGCCTGGCAGTATAGACAGTTAATTAAGGTAACTTAGGGCTCAAAACTGTCTTTCCCTTTAACCACTAAGCAATGCAAGGAAATTCAGGGTAAAGAGATTTTTCCACAAGTTTCTAGATTATTATGTTCACACAGATTTAGTATTAAAGATATCAATTCCTAGCACTCTGCAGGAAAAAAAAAAAAAACTGATTTATATGACTCTGTCCTCAAGTTCTAGATACAGAATATTTTGTGCATAGTTTCTGTACAACTGAGCCATTGTGAGGGAACAACCCTGTCACCAAGTAGTTTTATGCCGTTGAAAAGTACTGGCTCTGTTCACAAAGGCAAGTCATTATCAGATCCTCCTGCAATTTAAATATTTTTTTCTTTTAACATTCCCTTCTCATTTGGCTCCCATTAAGTCTAGCTGTCCAGAAATCCAGCAACTCGAAAGAATAGACTCTAAAAAACATCTCTATGAAATGAACTAGTGAGCTGAGCTAAGTGCTCTATCTGCTCCCAACCCCTGTGTTTTTTGCTAACCTCTATAACTCTACACAATTCAATGAGCCTTCTGGATTTAGAGTGAGTATTCTTTAAATCCCAACTCATAATGACCCTATAGGACAGAGTACAACTGCCCCATAGGGTTTTTTAGGCTGTAATCTTTATAGAAGCAGATCATCAGTACAATTCTCCCATGGAGAGGCTGGTGGGTTCAAACTGCTGACCTTTTGGTTAACAGCTGAGCACTTAACCATTGTACCACCAGTCAATGGCACACAACAATATTCTTTGAATATTTCATTTTCTCAAAAGAGGTGTGAGGATATTATCTTTATAAACGACCAAAGAGTGAACTGGAAATTCATAACTTGAAGGATTTCACATTCCAGACCTTCCAAGACAGCCAAAAGACCTAATGACAAATGTGTTTATAAGGACCAAGGTTCATTAACAAAACAAGAGTGTTTATAATTTGGAGGCTACTGAAACAAATTAAATTCATAATTTTTGTGAGCTTATCACTACTCGTCTGTCAGTTTGTCGTACTATGGCGGCTTGTGTGTTGCTGTGAGGCTGGAGGCCATGCCACCAGTATTTCAAATACCAGCAGGGTCACCCACGGTGGACAGGTTTCAGTGGAGCTTCCAGATTAAGACTGGGAAGAAGGAAGAGGCCATCCACTTCTCAAAGAATTGGCCAGTGAAAACCTTATGAATAGCAGTGAAACACTGTCTGATATATTAGTGGAAATCTTTATTGTGAGGCTGGCACAGGACCAGGCAGTGTTTTGTTCTGTTGTACACAGGGTCACTATGAGTTGAAGCCGACTGGACAGCACCTAACAACAACAACAACAACAACATATCATTCCAGCAATCACAGGTCTGCTTGTACCTTTCCCCCCAAAGACCTTGAATTTGACCTTGGACACAGCACATGGCACCTGTCTGCCATGTCCAGCTTCAAAGCCATTTAGTTGCATAATTAGAAATAAGTAGAAAACAAGCAAACTCTTCCAAGTAAGAAAAATTTGCAATTATTCTAGTATTAGTAAAAACAAAAACAGAATTGATTAAACTGGTTCAAAGTAAAATTAAAAATGATAATTGAGTTGCATTGTAGTAATTTGACGTTTTTTAATCCTAAATTGAAATCAATCTTAGATTGATGTATTCTAATGTTGATTTCATCCTGCTTTAGATATTTTCAAAAATTAATATGTATTTGATCCAGAGATCTTTTGAGAAATAAAGGACAACAAACGAGATAATTATCTCATATTTCCTTAGTTGTTTTTTTTTTAACTCTCATGTCTTACTCCAATTTTACATTTACAGTGTTTGTGTTAAAGTTTTGGTCACTGGTCAAACACAAGCAATACATTTAGAACTTTTCAAAAATACATTTTTTTTTTCCTAGATAAAGCACAATTTTTCACATTGGCAATATAACATATATGGTAATGAATATGATCTGAATGGCAGAAAGACCCAAGTTTAAATTCTGTCCTGATATTCATTAGCTGTGTAACTTCGGACAAGTCCCCTCTAAACCTCAGTTTCCTTATATGTTGCAGAAGATAATAATACCTACTTTGTAGCACTGTTCTTGGAGGAATTAAGCGAAATAGTTATGCAAAGTACTTCGCATAGTACCTAGTACATAGTAAACATAATGAAAACATGCTATTATTGCTGTTACTTTTACTATAGAGATGCTGTACAGAGACAACAACAGTATTTATTTTTTTAAAAAAAAAAAAAACCTATTTTTATGGGCAATATCAAAAGATATTTATACTGGATTTCTCAAGGCATTAACACTTACTGATATTTATGCAAGCAGATTCCATTGTATAAATCAAGCAATCATATTCTCTTAGATAATTATGCTTAAGCCCTAAGATGCTAACATGTAGTTCTCAATCAATGAACATGAAATGTCAACTGAACATTCTTACTGAATGTTGACTAAGTAATAGAGTTTATTTTTTCTTAGGTATCTTTGCTATGAAAACTACCTTTCTTGATCAGTTTTGTTTCCCTTATGTACCATCATCCTTACACCAATAAAGCTTCACTCAGTTTCATCCAACCTGATGCTGTAGGAGGAACAACCACTCAGGCTTAGTAGGAAGTGCATATATTTTCCTTTTTCTGCTGCATTTAGCCAATATGAAAATAACTATATCCATTGGAGCCTCTATGCTGTTGCCAGGGTCTATCTTATAAACAAAACTAACTTATACCGAAAACCAAACCCACTGCCATCAAATCAATTCTGACTCACAGTGACCCTACTGGGTTTCCAAGATGGTAAATCTTTATGAAAGTAGATTGCCCCATCTTTCTCCCACAGAGCAGCTGGTGGGTTTAAATCACCAAACTTCTGGTTAGCAGTCAAATGCCTTAAGCACTGTGCCACCAGAACTCGTTAAAACTAATTTATAGGACTCCTTTTTGTTCTTTAATTGAAATTTAAATGATCTGTGTTTGAGGAGTTTTCTGGGGCTTTTACATCTCCTTTGTGATATCTGTTCCTTGGTTCAGTGAGTTTTAAAACACATCACTCTCATATCAAATCCATTTACTTTTTAGTGAAGTGTTCTATCAAGTTCCAGTCAATCTACTTTATCTAAAAAGTAGAGACAAAAACTTTTTTCTTTAAAAAAAGGAATAGAAAAAAAGAAAACCTAGAAACAACATCTATAAGTTGAGCACACCTACAAAGCACTGCCATATTAACTGAAGTGTTTTGAAATCCATCAGAAATCACTAATGGGAGGGGCATTACTTCATTCAAGTTCCACAATGCTGTACAATTCAGTAGAGGGAATTCTCTAATTTATTTGGATGAAACATTTTTTATAAATTTCCTTATGCTGTATAAAACGTTAAAACATTAAATAACATAATGTATTTCTTGATGTGTAAATGAACTGTATTTGAGGAGCTTTCTGAGAAGTTTACAATTCCTATTAATATCTGCAGTCATTTTACATGTCTAAGTCATTAAACAAGTAGATAATGGGTACCAAAATAAATTTCCAATATTTCACCCAGTTAAATGCTATAAATTAATAAATAAATAAATTGAGAAATGCTTACCTGGAAAGGAGAAGTTTCCTGCAATATTAACAAAGCTATCAGTCATTTGTCCAAATACTATCATCATGAGGGGAAGACCTGATCCATGAGCTATGGCCATGATGGTGCCCAGGGACATAAATAATTTATCCTGCCAATCAGAGTATCGAAACTGAAAAATGGAAGCAAAATAATACTTAGCTTGTGGAATGGAATTTCTGTTTTTCTAAACTTACATGTTATTTGAATTTTTATTTAAAGCCAGCATATTTTTTAATAGTTGCAAATGAAGACATTAGGAAAGAAGATTTCCAATCCAAATCATTCACAGGTTAATTTCATGACTCTATATTTATTTTGCATTCTGTGAAGAAATCAATCTAACTCTGTTTAATCAGTATCTTACTTAGATGAATAATTACAATGCAATCAAATGGGATAAAGGTTTGTGTTCTCTTTCTGGGCTCCTGAGGTAATGAAGTAAGAACAGCTAGGACCTTAAGAACACAATCACATACACATACCAACACCCTTTAAGATAGCATTCAAACTATTTCAGGAGGAGAATTAAAATTAGGAGGAAAATAGATCCTCTGAGTTTTGAGGATAAGAGTCCTTTAAGAAGTTTAAATGAACTTTTAAAAAGCAGCTCAGAGTGAAAGTGAATAAATATCATAGAGTTGCTATATCTGTACTTTTGGATTTCCTGGGTGGTGCAAACAGTTAATACATTCAGACGTTAATTAAGTGGTTAGAGGCTTGAGTCCACCCAGAGGCACCTTAGAATAAAGGTCTGGCAATCTACTTCTGAAAAAAAATTAGTCATTGAAAACCCCAAGGAGCACAGTTCTACTGTGACACAGATGGGGTTGCCATGAGTTGGAGTTGATTAGACAGCCAACTGGTTATACATGTACTTTAGAAAAGTATTTCTTATGGAGATGATGGTCACATAGAATATTGAAGGATAAGGGCAAGTTAGGAGGAGAAGACTCAGGGATGTGGGGATGTTTAGGCTTAGGACAGCAAGGCTTCTAAAAACTGTGTGGAATCTTCAAGTAACTCCATGCAGTTGGTATTCTGGAGTGCACAGTACAAGGTGGGCCTGGTGTGATGGGCCATATGTGTTTCTTATGGATCTTAGACTTGGTCCCATCTGCAGAGGGGAGAGGTGATTCCAACTGTCATGGTACACAAACTCCCAAGAACTAATCAGAAGAGCAGTGTCATAACACTTCAAAATACTCCCTCATTTGTGTCTAGTCCTTTCATCTTTCTCATCTTCTCTAGTTTTGATTGACTGATTTATGGTTCTATCTTTCTGTTCTTCTTTCCATCTCTGACTGCCAGACTATATCTTACTTCTCTAATCTTTCCATATATTGAGTTTCCTTCCAATCTCTTGGATATAATCCCCTTCTAAAACTTTCTCCTCTACTCCTCCCACCACCCACTTTGAGGGACAGAGAACACTCAGCTCATCGGAAGAATGGGTAGTAAGTCAGGCTTGGTAGAGTGGAGTTCATCAGAGCTGACTGTGAGTCAGACTGGGTCAATATCCCAGGACATCATACAGGTTGGAAGCACGTGGGGCATGGCAAGGTAGTGTTTGGAAGAGGGATAGTGTGCAAACTGTTCTCAAAGAGGTCCAGAAGTTCAGTCTGGGGAGGCCAAATTCCATCATCAAACGCACCCGGTTAGCAAGGGTGCCAAAGAAGACAAAAGATCAGAAGCCAGGCAGAACTTGGACAGAACATGGGGGTGGATAAAGTCAAGAATAAATCAGGAAGAGTTCCTAAAAATACTACCAAGAACCAGTATCCCCAAGTTTCATCTTTAGAGACCCCTGGGCAAGGGGTCTATTAGCCCCTAGGGCCTATCAGCCACAGTTAAATGCTCAGGGTCAGGAGGTCATGTAATAATCTCCTTACCAAGCATTACATGAAATCGAGGAACATTTTAAAAGCTTTC